AGCGCGCCGGCGGCCGCGGCTGTTGCAGAGCCCGGGGCCTGGCTGCTTTTGAGAAGCCCCCTACACTAGGAAACTACTTTTTACCTCTCTCCCCTAAAAGAAAAATCTCCACTGAAGTTTTTGCGAGCGGAGATGGCAAGTCAAACTTTATCCTCAGAGCACATCTTTCTGTCGACGAAACCTTCCCGAAGGGGCCAAGCTACGCTAGGAAACACAAATTGTCGATCAACTGGAGCTCTGTTCCCCTCAGTGCCATGTACTCATTGGGTGACCTTGGATCAGCCACTTCACGTCTCAGTGACACAGCCTCCCCCTCTGGGAATTGAGCATGTTAACAAGAGTGTTGTGTTGGCAAATTCGTTATTAGTTTGAAGCACACCGATACCATGGTGACGAAGGACACCTCAGCCGACAGCTTGAAGTGCAGTATTGACAAGATTTTCCTTGCAATTTCTTTTTTTCCAGTCTCAAGCGTAAAAGCAGGCTTATAGCCCCATCTGACACAGCCTCCCCCTCTGGGAATTGAGCATGTTAACAAGAGTGTTGTGTTGGCAAATTCGTTATTAGTTTGAAGCACACCGATACCATGGTGACGAAGGACACCTCAGCCGACAGCTTGAAGTGCAGTATTGACAAGATTTTCCTTGCAATTTCTTTTTTTCCAGTCTCAAGAGTAAAAGCAGGCTTATAGCCCCATTGGAAAAGAGCAAGGAGGGGTCCCTTTTCCTGCCTGTCCCCACTTGCACTGATGAGGGGTGATAGCGCCAAGCATTTCTTCTCTGATGCTCTTTTCTTCATTTTAAGAATGGAGAGATGGGAGGATCGGAGCTGCACTACTTGCTGCAATTGACACTCCAAGCTGATGCTGTTTGGGAAAGGCCACAGCTCTTACCCCATACCCAGAGCCATGTTCCTGGGCTGTCAGATGCCCTGAGACATAGTGAAGTCCACAGTGGACAGAGAGGGAGAGCCAAGAGCCAGTAGCCCAATGGCCAGGCAGAGATCAGGTTTATCATAGGGAAGCTATAATAACAAGCTTTTAAAATCTCCAGATCATGTTTGAACTGGTCAAGTGTGGCTCAGGGATGATGATGAGAGGGGACAGAAAAACCTAATTTCCAGTATTTGTGCCATCATAGGGATTTGTTAAAAATGGGATTATCAAATGAGACACCAGCAGCTGTTCTTAAAAGAGCTTGCACCCATCTGCTGTCTTCTTAGGTTAGCATATGTCGTACCACTGTCCTCGCTGCCCTGAGCTGTAAACGGTACGCAGGAGCTGTCAGAGGGCCGGAGCGAGAGCACGGAAACACAGCGTCCCCCCTCAGGGGGAAGGCGGGGGGAGCAAAGCCGCACTATTTACACAGAGGGGAAAGTCCTTGTTTCACTAGACAGTGGGGAACGGGAGGCTTTGGCTAATCCGGCCAGTTTCCTTCAGCAGGGAGTGGGAGTTGTTATTTTAGGGTTTAAAGGAGCCTCGCAAGCCAGAGGCAGCAGAGGGGTTTCTTTGCAGCTGGGGCTCTCCTGCCCCAAGTGGGCTGTCAGGGTAGCTCATGTGCTTGCCATATGCGGGCTGCGTGCCATCTCCCCGGGGCAGGCAGGAGAAGCACCGCGTCCCTCCTTCCATACCAGCACAGACGGGCGCTGGCTTTCCCAAGGGTGTTCCAGCCCTTCCTCCCCCCAAAAGCGAGATAAAAATAGAAGACAATAAAATGGAAATGCACATCCTTCGGACACGGAGGCAGCCTGCAGGAATGCAATCAATGCTCCTACTTCTTGGCATTGTAAAAATGTAGAGTTTGTTAAAATAACCCTGCTTCACACAATGCAAAATAATAAGCATGAGCAATATTCAGTGATGATGATTTCACCCTCCCCAGAAACCACACTGAGAAAGTACAAGAGAAGCAGAAAATGTCACTGAACGGGGACTGAAAGGCCCTACGAAGTCACTGCCCAGCCTGGAGAAATGCAAAAAGGAAACCAACTGTCTAGAGCAAGGCACCACTAAGAAAAGCTCATTAGCATGCTAAAATTATTTCTGCTTGAGCAACTTCTGATAACTATTGATAACACAGTTCAGTAGTTTCTTCTGTAAGCCTGACAGATGGCAGCTGCTCTTAAGAAATTCCCTTCCCCTTCTTACCCTCACTTTGACCAAAGGACAGAATGGCCTGCACGTGCGTGTCCTTTTTTTTAGTATCTGACTATATTCTCACTCACAGCCGTAAAATAATAACACCACCCGAGCTCCTTCCTAGCATTTTTTATTTCTAGATTTTAAAGCATTTTACAGAAAAGGCTAGTAACACTATCCTTATTTTACAGGTGATGAAACTGAGACACAAGGAACTCTGGAGACTTGTACAAGGTCACCCTGTGGGCCATCGACAGAGTCACCACTTATCTGTGTTGCATCCAGCTCACAGGACCAACACACTTTTAGCGACACACACTGCAGCACTGTTTCTGAGTTCTCCGTGACACCTCCCACCTTGTCCACTACCCCTGCCTGCAAGCAAGGTCTCAGTTCCTGTTATCCGCCCCTCGGACTCTTGGACGCGTGGTGCTTTGTGCTACAGCCTCACCAATGACTCCAGCCCTGTGACCGCTCTCACCGTTGCGAGGTGTGAGGCAGACACGGTGCACACCGCAGACTTCACACAGCGCCAAAGTAAATAACTCTCTGCACAGAGAGCACAACAAATACGTTGATCTAGGCAAAAAGATAAACACTCGCAAAATAACAAATTCAACTCAGCGAGATCAGTGGAGTAAGATTATAGTAATATCAAGCAAGAGGAAAAGTATCTGATAGGTGCTCTGTATTATGTTGACAAAGGACTCACACTGCTGCAAGACATCTACTTCCAGAACACTTTCATCACCTCTAAATCTTACTGTGAACAGATGTGTAATCCAGACCTCTAAAATCTAGGACAAAAAAGACACACAAATATATTATTTCCGAACCAAAACGTACTGAATTCCACGGCTCAAGTCTCAAAAACTCACTGAACGAGAACTAAGGAGCAGAAAAATCAAGAAGTGAAGTTTGTGGCCTAGAAAAATGTTAGGTCTGGCTTTTATGGCTGCAAAGGAATAGAACGGTGCCTTACAGAGAACAGCTGGCCTAGAAACCCGGACGGGGATGCACCTCTGAGCCTTCTTAAATCTATATACACAGATCAGGCCTTTCACGAGATGGTACGGGCTGTGCTGAGCTGTCACACCCCTGGGCAACACTCCTTTAAAAGTAATGTTTCAGGAGAGGGAAAGAACTTATAAAGAACAGCTAAATCTCCACTGACTGACACCAACCCAAAGTACAACTCTTCGTAAGGCATCACATGAATCGCTTTATCTGTGTAAACCCCATGGGGGCTTGGCTTCTTTAGGATGAAAGATATTATGAAATGTAAGGTATCAACATTAGCAGCTATCATTCTTGTATTTCTAACAGGTGGCAGTAAATAATGACAGGCTGATTGCTTTCAGCGACAGTGAGATAAAGCAGGGAAAACCTGCAGGTCTTTCCCCTTCAGGCAGGCAAACCCTCCTGTGCTTGACAGGCGTACTCCCTTCCAATTTCCGATTACAGCTGCACTAACTGATGCAACTTCCCTTGCCCACAGACCAAAGAGCAGGCTGCAGGCAGCCCATGTTGCTGGAGGCTCCCGGAGAAGTCCCAGTTTTACTCTTCCACCCTCAAACTGGCCAGTTCTCCCTTGCTTAGACTTAAGCTCCCTTGAAAACCTTTCTCATGCCATACCCACGCCCATTTGTTTTTCCCACGTTTAGGACTTCCATAAATCTCTTTTAATGGAGTCCAGATTGCTGCTCGCAGACATTTCCCTCCAGAGCTGTAATTAACCCTGCTCCACAGCCTCTAGGCTGTCAGCTCTCACTAGGTCTTTTCAGCCTGTACAAACTTTAACTTCACACCCACCCAACTGCAGCTCTTTTTTTCGTTTCTCTGTGACTCTAAAGCTGAGTGGAGGGTCAGAGCACCCATTTCTCTTTCAGTCCCATCTGTCTGGAGCTTGAGAGCATCTAAGCCCCTTCCACCTCCATCACATCTCACCTTGAAACCTTCCTTTCTCTCCCTTCCCTTAGCAGGAGCTCTCTGGGAATTGTCAGAGACTGCAGAGGAAAGATACCCTGCAAAAATACGCGAGTTGACTGCATGAGCCTAAAATGTTCTTCAAGCATGCAAATCCCACCATGTCTGAAAGGGTACAGAACGGGAACACAGTTACTCTGAGACGTATATCAGTGATACATAATACTTCTTCAGTAGTATATACCCAGCGCAAATGCGCCAAGCTGTATCATGGAAATAATTTCTTTCCTACTGACACCCATGCACAGTGAAAAGCTTGCTTCTGTAGTTGTGCTGAATGGCGATACCTGCTTCCCCCTACAGAAGTCACACTCCTACTGGCACCTCATCTTTCCTCCCCTCCATCCTACTGGTTAAAGTGACTGTCTGGGGAGAGAGCGGATTTGACTGATAAAAGCAAACGTTACTCATCTCACAACTTCCTAGCCTCAGCATCTAAGAGAGTCTATGGAAAGAGAGTATTAATAAGCCTCACTCCTACTTGGAGCGGACCAAAAAAGCTGTTCCCTGAATTCCCATAATACACATTTAAAGAGATATTTGTTTAGGAGGGATGCATGTACAGAGCGTCCTCAGGCACCAAGCAACGCCATCCTGCCACCCACTCATTCCAACTGCTGAAAGCAATTACTTTCCTCCCCTGCTCTCAGCGCTAGCACAGGATGCACAGGGTCTCCACAGGTCACACACAGAAACTGTTTTTACTTTCTTTTTCTTTTTTCTTTTTCTTTAAGAAATCAAGCGAAGCAGGAGCTTCAAGTGCAACATTAGGAAAATCTACACCTTCCAGAGAGCTTCTTGAACTGGCCTTGACTGCTACGCCATTGAAGCTGTTTCCTGACCCGAGTCCTTACTACCTGGCTGTCATGAGGGTTACTTGCTCAAAGCCGAGGTGACTAAACCACGTTTTCTGGGAGACAGGGCAGAACGGCTGAAGCCCAGAGGTGACCCGTGGGCTCAGAGTTGGCCAGCCGCTCTCAATTTCACAGGGAAATACAGCCCACAGAGATGACCAGTCCCACGATTAAAGCAGTCCTTCATTACTCAAAAGGAGCAGTAGACATTTGCCCTCACCACACTTCTGTATTGAAAATGCAGCAAGCAACTACCAGTCAGGCACACACCAGTCAGGCAGCGCGCTGAAAACTAATATCTGACAAGCTGCCAGAGTAACTTTCAGCTGGAGGTAGTGTGGGCCTTCCTG